AAAAATAAATCGGCTCGATCTTTCACATTCCAAGTTTTACACATTCTCATCATGCTTGAATCATACAACACTCGTAACGGAATCATATTCTTCATTAAGGAACATAGTGTATACCATACATCGGTTGAAAATAGCCACCTTGTCATATTTTCATGGTTTGAAAACTTGTGAATCATTGAAGGACCCATGAATAAGGCACAAATACTGAACCAATACAGTGGTGCCAACACTATTAATAAGGTCGGTTGTTGAAACGGTAAATGGCTATCAATGATGGTTGCACTGAAAAAATCAGTAAATAAACTCAGAGATCGGATCAAGGAATGAATTAATCCAAATCGGGATGGAGAAATACATTGTAAAGAATATGGCTGATCATGATTGGAATTATCGGAACAAATATCTTCTAAATAATATTTCGTCAAGTGCATATCAATATAGAGATCCATAACGGAAGTTAATAATGTCGGTAATACAGCAATCAGAATGGAAGAAAATTTTGAAGAAGTGGATGATCTTGGCAGCGACGATGATGATTCCTTGGAATTGGTTGAAATATCGGAACGTTCCGAATGAACATTATTCCCCATTCTTTCATGATTGTGATTCTTATCATCATAGTTGTGGGAGGAAAGAGCTACCCTTCTTGGTTTGGTCATTTTTTTTGTGATGTATTAAATATTAAATTCAAAGATATTGAAAATTTTAGAACAAAAGTTCAACAAGTGTCGAAATGTCTTCACAGTTCAATGTTGTTAAATGACACTTTTCTTAAGAAAGAATTCTTCCAAATATACCAATTTCCCATCTTTACCAATCAAGGATAGAAACCATTGCCTTCTTTCACACATATCAGACCCATGATTCATTCCAAATAAAAGAAAACAATCTATTGTATTCCTAGACTTATCATCAGGATGGACACTATTGAAAACATTGGTAAAAAAGACGTTTATAGCAGTAAACAAGAGGAAGTTCTTGGAGGTTCCCAAAGGAATTTGCAACAAGGAGATTTGGGTTCTAATCTTTCAAGTCGAGACACTATGGAAGGAGTATTTCAAAGTGGAGAATCAAGAGAATCTGTTGAAACAACAAATCCATCTGAGAATAAGGAAAATGTTTCATCTTTTAATAATAATATTTAATGTTTAACAATTCACACAACATCCCGCCAAAATAAAAAATTAAATGAAATTTAAAAAAAATATCAAAATGCAAAAGGCTTCTTCTTCACTGTTGTTGGATTTGAAAAAACGGAAGGAATTGGTGGCGGAATCAACCACATCACCGAGTACCTGCTTGTCCGATTCTGATGATGATGATGTGGTCATTATTACTGCACCATCGCCCTCTATGAAAAAACATTCGGAACAAGTACCTCCGAAAAAGATTAGAAAAACAAATGTAGAATCTGATGTGGAAATACAGGGCAACATTCCATCAGCATCATCATCATCGTCTGTAGTCATGGCGTCATCTATAAAAGCCACTGCACAAGAGGAAGAAAATTTTGATCCTAATACTATTCAATATCATAACACAAATACTATTGACACAATTTTAAAACGTAAACGATTCCATGATGGGAAAATGAAATATTTTGTGAAATTAAGCGGTCAATCTCATTGGCATTGTAAATGGATGTCACGCGAAGAAGTTCAAGAAAATGCCACAGTCAAGCTCATGTGGTTCGAAGAACATTATGGTCGTGATATGGAAATTGATCTATTTCATTCAAATTGGGAAAAAATAGAACAAATCATTGCAAATAATGGGAATTATTTTTTAATCAAATGGATGGACGTTCCTTACTCTGGGTGTACATGGGAATCTAAGAGTGATATTTTGAAGCACGAAAAAAAGACCAATGAAAATAAGGCCACAGATTTATATAATAGATTCATAGAAAGTCATAGAAAAAAGTCTTACAAAATTCTTTCAGAGGCAGAGCTGTTGTCAAGGAAACGAACTGAATCTCAACGTACGGCTCGTGGAATTTCGAAAATGAGTGTCACAAATGTTGAAGGACACAATTTTGAATTATTTGACTATCAACTTCAAGGTGTGGCATGGATGAGGTCCATGTGGAATCATCACAAATCCTGTTTACTGTGTGGTATGTTTTAATAGTGTATCACTGCCCTTACATTTCTAAATTTGAATGTTACAATATGCGGTAGATCAACACGGTCTTGGCAAAACAACTCAAGCTATATCTTTCCTAAGAGCCATGTCCATGTATCATAATGTACCTGGTCCGTTTTTAATAATTTCTCCTCGAAATCGAATTGAGCATTGGAAAAAGCAAATTACATTTTGGGCACCTGATCTCAGAGTTGCAGTATACGACGGATTACTTGATGACAGAAAAATTATTAAGCAATTCATTATTCAAACGATTCAAAAGCGAAATTTGACACCTACAGATCGATTGAATTTCTCTGTAAATATTATTTTAACAACCATTGAGAGTATTGTAAACGACGAGACATGGTTCAAATATTTTCTATGGCCAATTGCAGTTATAGATGAGGCACATGTGTTAAAAAAAACAAAATCAAACCTTTTCCTGATGCTGAAAGAACTGAAAATAGATTTTACACTCTTTATCAGTGACAAAATGTATAATTCAGAGACATGTGGACCTTTTATTTCATTGCTAAATTCTAACAGTCCGATACAGGACTTTCCAAAAGAATTATTACTACGAAGAGAGCGGCAAGACGTTCTTGCATGCATCAAACCACGAGCAGACTTGTTGCTTACTGTGAATTTAACACCTCTCCACAAATATTTCTTTAGACAAATATTTAAGAAAAGTGCCTATTTCAACGCTCTCACCAATGTTTTTAAGAGCAGTGACACACCTCAGCAATACTCTTCACTCTTTCAACAAATGTTTTCAGATATTTTGAGGACTTGTGAACATCCTTACTTGCAATTCTTTCTCGAAAAGGAAGAACCTTTTGCACAGAATAACGAATTATTTATGAAATATTTCATTCAGTCCTCATCCAAGTTAGTTCTGTTAGAGGCTCTTCTTCAACGATGCAAATCACTCAAGCAAAAAGTACTTATTTTATCTTCTTATCCATACGTGATTGAAGAACTGATTCGATTCAAAGAGTATCAATATCAATTGATTGTATCCAGCGAGTCAACCAATAAGAATAATGCCACAACAAACACCACTGCACCTATTGTAATTATGAGCACTCAACTTCATCCATCCATAGATTTATTGAATTTCGATACAATTATTGTCATGGATTCTGCATATCATCCAATCATAGATTCGCAACAACTCACACGATTCTGTAAAATTGACAAACGCACAACCATTCTACGACTCGTGTGTTGTGAAGAATTTGAAACAATGATTTTAAATTTATCAGAAAATGAAATGATACGAGGAATGTTTTTAAAGCAACTCTCTGAATTTGAGACGTCATTACGAATTTTTGCAAAAGATTTATTCACGAACAACAGTGAGGATTCCACTTTGAGTTTGGATCCATTGCTAGATGAACTCACTTCTCAAGAAGGACTAGAATTTTTACAATCCATGGAAAGTCTACATCTATCAGAGAGTATCTTGGATGAAATTTTATCAGAGAAGAATAATCATACGGAACAACAACAACCACAAGCATACGATATGATGATTCACTCTTCAGCCAAATCATTAAGCCATGTGAAAATTACACATTTTCAAAGGAAGGAAAATCCCACCACGAGTTCTGTACCCTCTCTTGGAAAATCCCCTTCTCTACATGCAGAGATTGACAATCTTCCTGGTGAAATATTTTGGACAAGACTCATCAAGTCTGCAAAAACTACAGCAGATCTTTCATTGGTCAAGATGGAACATATGAATGGCAGTAACGATCATAAACGAAAGGATACCACTGCCATGGAATTATCTCTACTTCATTATCAAGATGAAACAATGGATCGATTTTTCGAACAATTTTTAAACTCTTCTTCAGATGATTTATTATACAGTGAGGAAGAAATTCAACAATATTCTGAAACTGTAGCAAATGAACTCTCAGACAATCTCAATGCATTGATGAATCAAGTAGAGGAATTGAGTGCCACTCTCAAAACAGTCAAAGATGTCACACAACGAAAGAAAATTAGTTCCAATATTCGAGCATTGAAATATCAAATTGAGGATGAAACGATTCAATTGAAAATTATTGAAAGACAACTCACCAATCCGAAAATCAAAATTTTTCCCAATCACTCGGTTTCGGTTCTAGGTTTTACGCCAACAGAACGAATGATGTTTGTAGCGACTTTGTGGAGATATGGTTTGGGCTTTCCAACACAGGACCAGAAATGGTACGAGTTTTTTAATATCATTAGAAGAGTTTCTAATTTACAAAAAACACTGAAACAAGTGACTGAATTTGGTATATTCATGTTAGATCATTTCTCAGAGCAAGTAGATCAGCGCTATTCACATTATTCAGATGGTACTCCCACAGATCGATTGAATAATGTGAAAATTTTACAGCGTATTGCTTGCATGTTTGTCATTTATCATGTGGTACACAAGTACAAGAATTCTCACATTCAAAACAACGAGGACCTTGCACAAGTTGAGACCATACTTGAACAACACCAGATACATGACGACACTAATGAGAATGGTACAACATGTTCTGCATATTATCCGTGGTGGAACAAAGCTCATGACTTGATTTTATTGAGAGGATGTGCCAAACATGGTTACGCTCAATGGAATCAAATACTTGACGATCATTCATTTGAATTTTCAACCTTAAATTCAATTTTGAAGCACAAGTTTGGAGAAAGCTCAAATCGCATGCATCGTTTTTTGAACAATCGTTTGAATCATTTATTAGACGTTTACATGAAAGAGCACGCAAAAAGAAAGATGGACATGTACACTCGATTATCATCTACAAAAACTCACTAGTCTTGGCAGGTCTTCGAATGGAATTTGTCATTCCATCATGAAATTCCAAATACATGGAAATTGTTCCTTTCAGTTGTGATCTTCTTCTCTTTTTATATTCCATGACTGTCTGTGCACTTGTATGTTTTGGAGATTGTGCATACAGAGAATTAAGATCATTTGAGGATGCTTTTTGAGGAGCCTCCTTTTGATCTTTCTTTCCGTACTTTCTATCCAATTTTTCAAAGTGTAGAGCTGACGAGAGAATCTTTTTAAAATGGTCAGACAATACATTGCTTGTACCATTCTCTACTTGTTTGTTACTACTGTTACTACTGTTACTACTATTGCTGCTGCTAGATGATGATGGCTTTTTAAAGTAGGATGCAATGTCCGTCTTGTTCACTTTGGAAGGAGTGACAAGACCCTTGGCATTCACATCCATACCACTCTGTGATGATTTCAAAGGATAGAATGCAATTTCATCTAAGGGAGGATCCAATGTGCTTTCATATTTTTCATTCACATAGGTCTGCTTCACTCCAATACCGTACGATAAACAAATATCCAAAATTGCTTCAAACGATTGACGTTCTTGATCGCTCTTGATCATTTGTTTGAGGCCTTTCATTCCAGAATGAGCCAAAGATGAGAGAGCAGCTCCAGTATTGAGTCCTGACAAACATTTGGTATCGAGAATTTGATACAAATATGGTACGAGATCAGTGGCCATGTCTTTGACTGAGGATGTTGTCAACAAGTTTCCACTAGTCTGTGAGTCTCTATCGTTCTTATTGGCCTTTACAAATTCATGAGTAAAACAATTCAAAAAGAGAGATTTGAGAACGTTGTGTTTGTGGTTGAAGGATCGTTTGGCATCTCCTTGCTGTTTTGGATATTGAATAAAGTCATTGCTAGTGTCAAATCCAGACTTTTTACAAGCAACAAAGAATTTCACAAGTGAAGCAGCTCTGTAGACTTGAAGGGATCGTTCTTGATATCGATTGGAAGCAACGTCAATCATGTCAGACCATTGAAGGAATGAAAGAGAGTCTGCAATGTCATTCATAGAACTTCCAGAGCAGAATGATAAATAATTTTCAAAACATCCATTCGCAATAGAATCAAACTTGTCCAATTCGCTTAAAAACGAATTAAATAGTGAAATGCGGTTTTCCTGATATTTGGAAATTAAGGATTTGTCAATCTTCTTGGTTTTAAAGACGAGATTCATGGCATCGAAAATATCCGATTTGACATCTTTCGAAATGGTCATTAACTCTTTCATAGAATTGGATCCATGAAAACCCATAAATTGAATAGTGTTGAGACATGAACGAATATCATTGTCAGAGTCCTTTACAAATTGTGTCAATTCGTGTTTACCCACGTTGGCTAAAGGATGACTCTCTTTTCGTAAGATTATACCAAGTCGATCTACAATTCGTTGTGTGTTATCAGTTCTGTAGTCATCTCTTCTGAAAATAATTAACTTGCTTTTTTGTCTCAATTCTTTAAGGCCAGGAGAATAACTAAGAATGTCCATAGAATATTCTTGTAAAAAATAGAGTATTCAAAAGCGTGCCACTTACTGGTCATTACAAATGCAAATAATAGGTCTCATGATGCCTTGATCCTTCTTCTTTTTGGTCTTCTTATCTAGCTTCACTCCTGATTTAGTCTTTTTAGTTTTGCTCGAACTTTCATTATTGTCTTTTTGAGACGATGATTTGTTTTTAGGATAGGTCATGTTCAGAATTTCTGAAATGACAGACTTGTTTTCAGAGTTTTGAACTCCATCAATTTCATCTAATATTAAGAGTTTGGGTTTTTTGCTACCAAAAACTGTTTGCATTTGGGTCACTTTTTGAATTTCTGGAATGAGTTTGTCCTTAGAACGATCATCAGATGCATTCACTTCATGTGGTTCATATCCTGCTTGCTTGGCACAAATATGCGCTAGAGTTGTTTTACCAATACCAGGAGGGCCTGCACGAAGGGTATTTTCAGAGTGACATTAAGATTCGAAGAAAAAGTAAAAATGATAATTTCACACTTACCTGAAATGAGCAAAATACGGTGATCTGGTCCCTTGGTTGCATTGTTTGAGGATTTTGAACTGTTATTAAACTTGTTGGAAGTGTTCTTCTCATCCTTTGCCGACTTTTGGGAGCTCACTGAACCAAAAACTGTCATTAATGGATTCTTTGGCTTTTCTTGTGTTGTTGGTTTGATTTTTTTCGTCTTGGCTGTTTCTGGAAATACTATGGGATCCCATTCCTTGATCCATTTCAATACCTCAGCATTGGTTTTCTTTTATCCAAAGGATTCCATCATAAATTAATAATGTGACATGAATGTCATTGTTAGAGGCACACAGAAAATTATCAAGTACCTACATCATCTGTTAGTAAATCCAAATACGAGGTTGGAGCATACTTGTCAACAAGTAGCTCATACTTTTGTTTTGCATTGCTTGAAAATTGAACATCATTCATCATATCTGCAGCATCAACAGCGTGACGGGAGGATGCATTCGTCTGAGCTCTTGCCTTTTTCTTGATCTCTTCTTCATATCTAAGTCGCTGTACATCTTCCAATAATTCACTCATTGGTTTTTTCAAGATTCTGTTGGCTGGTATTTTGGCAAAGATTGCTTCTCGGGAACTAGTTGCTACACGTGTTTCTTCTTTTTCATCATCCAAAAAAGTCAAATAACACATATCACCTCCTTTTGAGCCAATGCAAGTAATAAAGTCTGTATCTAGAGAAGGAATTTCATAATGAATTCCATTGAATAACGATGATTCCGAAGATAACTTGCTGAGATCATCCTGAATGATACTACTCATGGTCGGATGAGAAGGTGGAGAAAGAAATTTAATTCTTTTCAATTCTTTAGAGGCATGATTTCTAATGTTTTCTTCAAGTGTGGATGATATGAGAGTATGCTCATCATCATCACTCTCGTCATGCTCGTGATGATTGGCTTCCGAAACTTTGTACTCAAATTGGCTTCGGTCTCTTTTGAACATTTTTTGAATTTGTTAAAAAAAAAAGGCGGGGAAAGTCTAACAAAATGACCGTTACGCATTTTTAAAACACTTAAATCTCAACATGTTCCACACATGATTTCCATGATTCTACTCATTCTTTGAAGAACTTGGTTGCTGTTGGTCCTTCATCTTTTTCAAATATTCTCTAGGATAACGACTCTTTCCTGCTGCTCTCAAATCTTTAATATATTGTTTCATCAAGGAATATTTCCGTTGTGCCATTTCGTACAAGTAACTCCACGAATAGATGCCACTATCATGTCCATCCGAGAAGATGAGCCTGATTGCATATGAACCGACTGTTTCAATTTGCAAGATTTGAACAAACTTCTTGCCATAGATGAGTCTCTTTTGACCATTCTCTCCTTGAACCTCCGCAGAAGGGCTCTCTACTCGCAATAACTCGGCTGGGAGAGTACCAACCAGATCGAGTGTTGAAGATTGTGAGCCTTCCTCTCCATTATTATTCATGATGATCATGGAACGAGTAATTTCAAAATGTAATTCTAATTGTTTGCGTTGTTTTCTTAATTTGATTTCTTGGACTTTGACTTGATCGGGACCATAGGGATGTTTGGGATCCAAGGGTTTATCGATGACATGTTGTTGATGATGATGAGGGAGTGTTGATTCTCTCACCAAATGGCTCGGAATGGTGGAGGCATAATGATGAAATGTTTCACGAATATTAGAAAGATTTTCTGTTCTATTACTAGGATCTCTATTGGAGCTTGTTGATGTTATTGTGGTGGTCCTATCTTCTTCTTTATTCGTGTTGCTATGCCATCGGAGCTTGATTGAAAAATTGTGGATTTGATTTGTAAATGGTTCTACAAAACTTGATGTGTTCACTGGACTGCATAATAATTGTTGATGCGGATGATAGGACATGAGCAATTTATGAATCGCCAATCCTGTGTTCGATTTGAATCCTGATCGGAGCAAGTGATTTGAAAGCATGATTTAAATTTTTATTCCTATTGAAAATTTTAATAATTTATTGGACTTCATTCACCATTGTTGCATTTCACTTTCCAATTTACTTTCCTATTGTCCTAATACTCTCCATTGGAAAGTGAATCACTTGTTCTTGGAGAACATTGTTGTGACAACACGTTGTTCATTTGACAACAACACAAGACATTGTTCATTTAAATTACATTCTCTCAAATCAACCATTCACCTTTTCACTACACCCTTCTCCAGGAAAGATGTAGACGAACACACGTCATGCAGTCTCAAGAATCCTCTCTCCAAACAATGCAATTTCCTTTTCCAGAATTCAATCTTTCCCTCCAAATTCAATGTCTTCAAAAAAAACCCATCTTCAAATTTCAAACTTTCCTGAAAAGTCTTGTTGCTAGGATTTGGAGTGAAGAAAAACAAGAAATCTGATTGCATCCGGTCGTTATTAACACCTTCTGTTTTGAAACGAACTCCTTGTCCTTCTGCATTTCATGTTCTTGCAATCACTTTATTTAATATTTCAGTTTGAAACAAAATAATTGGAAAGTCTACACACCATTCCAGTGAAGCAACAAGATCCAATTCCTCATCATCCAAACCAGCCACCATACTACGTCTACTGCATTCCGTTTGTTTGTTTCAACAACATTGGACCACCCTCCCTTCAACAAAATTCATCATCTTCAATTAATTTATTAATACCTCTCTGAGTAGTCAATCCATGATGATCGGAAGCTTAACCAATTCCACCACCACTACTGCTACTTCTACTACTTCAAGATCATTATCAACAAATGCTCCTCTGACTTACTCTACTCAACCAACCAGTAAGATGAATTCTCATCATTCATCATGCAACAAGACTTTCGTTCATCAGAAACAACCACCACAACCACAACGGATGCAATCGAAAGGAACGACCAGCAGCACTAGCAACCCCTCCACGACTCGGTCAGTCAAACAACAGCCTCACCTCTCCTCTTTCATGAAAACCACTTCGTATTCTCTCTCAACAACTGTTGGAGGTGCAAATCATGATGTTGTTGGAATGAGTCAGAAGAATGTCTTAAAGACACCTTCCACAAGAACAACAACAACAACCAGCACCAACCATAACACTCCATGTCATTCCAAAGGATCTACAATGAGTCATAGTGGCAGTATTGGTAGTAGTAACTATGCCACTCCTCTCTCTACACCATTGAGGCCGTGTAGTAGCAGTCATAGCTTCACCAAATCGACTTTGAACAGTCTATCGACCCAATCCACATGCAAAACAGTTGCAACTACAAGTACTCCATTCTTGGATGAATTTCATACATCCTCTGGGCGTGAATGGTCTCGTGGTAAAACCCATCGTCACAATTCTACTGATTTTCATTGTACTTCCAAGAGTATGACTTGTCCAAATTCTCCCAATTTGACTTCTCTCTCACCGACCTTACAACCCTTATCGACAAGTTTTGTGGATCAAGAACATTCACTTCTCAACCACATGAAACGACGAATGGAGAAGAATGATCAAGAACCTCATCCTCATGACAAGACGGAAGCATCTACTCAATTCCCAAAAACTCTCCAAGTATTGGAGCCTTTAGACGATGATTTGAGAATACTCGAAGAGGGTTTTCCAATTCATTGTCGTCTCCCAACAATGACCATTCGTCCACAAGATGCTTCTTCCATTACATTAATGAACCATAAGAGTGGAAATGATTTGACAAATCCAACCACAACGACCAATGCTACCAAGGTCTTATCTTCCACATCTACCACTTCACCCTTACTTTATATACATCAGAACCATCATCATTCTCTCTTTGAAGAGAAGGATTTGAACAAGACTGTGACTCTTTCAACTCGAGATGATCATCTTGAACCATCTCATACTGCTCATCTGAACCATGACTGCCAATCCATTATTGAGAACAGTGATGTTGTAAACGACCACACATCATCACCAAATAAGCCAATTGTATTGGGTAGTACGAGCAACATTGCTTCACATCATCAACCACATCACGAGACATCAAATTATCATGCTGTGAGTAGTTGTAGAAACACAATTTCTGTTCCTCAAAAAAACACCGAAATTGCTTGTGAAAGAGTTGTGTCACCTGGTAGCAGCAGTAGCAGCCTCAATTTTCAAAGTGACCACACTACTACAACAACAATCACACAACAACAAGAAGGCTCATCGTTCGATAAGAAGACTCTTGAGCCTTCAGTTAGTATTCAACAACCTGATCTCTTGAGTAGTCATCAGCAGCAACAACAACACGATACAAAATTCCATCAAGGCTTGCATTCAACTCGAATTGATCCTTTTTCGAACCCATCAACAACTGCTCTTCTTTCTTCAACACAGACTCCCAAAGAAAAAGAAACACCTCATCTCTCAACCAACATGATGAAAGCATGCATGCCAAGTAATGGTTGTGGTGTATCTGCAATCTCTCATCATGGAAACAACACCATGATGGGCAAAAATCATGTGCAAGGTTGCAAAAAGTACACAAGAACCGACTGTTCAGACTTGGATCATCAACCAACACTTGAATTTGTAAGAGTTCTTTTGGGTCAGAGTAAAGAGTTGGATCATACGACCACTCATCCCAAACAAAAAGCCACAAACATGACTGTCCATCCTTCTGCTGGTCACCACCACACCAAGAGATCAAGCACTATGAATGTGTTACGATACTCGTATGAAAGCGATGATGAAGATAGAAATGCCTATGAGTTGTCACCACTCCATAGCAATTCGAAAATTTATTATGTCGATCAAATTCTCTCATCCGGTGATAAAGATTGTTATGAGCAAAGTAAGGACATGAGTCATGATGAAGATGAAGCACTTCAAGAATGGGAAAGAACCAAGCAGAAATACAAGAATGCGTTCAAAAGAAGAACAAATATTCCAAATCCCAATAACAATAACCTTAGTCGTAACTATTCAGGTAATATGGGTGAAAATTTAAGAATGGTCACTGAAAAGGTTTGCCACCTCCAACAAGTGAAAATGGACTTGGAAGAACAGACACAAGAAATTCAGAATATTTGGGAGAGTTTAGTGCATGAGGATTTAGTGTGGCAAGTGGAAGATCTAATTGTTCAGTCAGCTTTGTGCATTTGTGGAGATTTGAATAGCACTAAATCCATTCAAACACTTTTTAACATGATCTGTGAAACAGAGAATGAAATGGTGAATGCACTCGAAGATTTGATTGATTTTATATTTTGCTCCACACGAAGATCATGTAAAAAACATTCCATTAATTTTAACATGATTTTAGAATTGGTGAAAGACTCTTCCTCGCTGTGCGCCAACGTTCTTTCCAAGCACCAAAACCACTTGTCTTCCCAAACTGCGGTAGCTTTGAATTCACAACGCTACAAACTAGATCAACAAGCTTTTCAAAAGCAACAACACACCTCTTATTATTTTAATAATAACAAGAAAACTCTTATGGATGGGCATACCAGTCAGTTGCATAACCACCAACCGCATCATCAGAAAAAGAATGTCACAGTCCTCTCTCCACATAGCACAGCTCACAGAAACCAAACTGCTCAACCCACGACCAAACACCATGCTCTTCCTGCTAAAATGATACCATCCTCTCCTCAAATTCAAACGAATGATTCGAAGCCTAAACGTCACATCTCATTCTCTGAGCTCGAAAATAAGGAAAGTTTTTTACAATTACTCGGCATTGGAAAGAGAAAAGAATTGCTCGAGTCCATTCGAAGTATTGTGGAGGTACTTCTCGAAGTGTCCTCTGTCGTGCTGCATTCGAACGAAGACAAAATTGAATCTCTCGATAATTCCTTCAAGGAAATGATTTCAACATATTCGAAAATTATTAGTGATATTGAAGACTTTGCACCTCATCGATTGTTTAATGTGTTTTGAAAGGTGTCAGCTGTGAAGAATAATTCAAATGTGCAAGCTAATGGCAAAAAAGCACAACCTGTTGGAGTTGTCAGTCTAGTCTTAATAAAAAAAGAGCAACGAATTTGAAAGCGCCTGTGTGTTTGGAAAGGTTCCGTTCTATTAAAATTCGCATAAGCTAATCAGCCTCCAAAGTTTCTTTTCAGAACAATTACACAATTGTGGTGATTTCATGTTAGACAATTCAAAAATGAATCTCAAGGAGAAAATAACCTACTATTCCGTTGTTCTTCTTAGAGCATTGTTGTGACACAAAAGGTTTTACATTATCTCACAACTATTATATTCTCTTCCAATCGTAAAACGTTACTGAGTCGTCTTGTGCGTAGAGTGCAACGAGCGGATAGACTGGAAGAATGATGTTGCGAAATGTATAGCTTTGATTTGAGCCCATCTTTTGAACGGTCAGCTGCCGAGTGTTACCATTCATAATCATTTCAAGTACATCTCCTTTCGAGAATTCAAATCCGTGTTGCTTTTGATTTTCTTTCGATTCAATACTCCAAGTAAATGCGTTGCTACTCATGAAATAAGATCTATGAGTGTTGTAGGGCGTTTCAAATGCTGAGAATTTTTGAGACTTGACAATTTCTTCTCTGGAAACTCCAACACCAATCCAACCTAAGTGATCGTTAATTTTAACTTTCCATTGGTGTATACTTCCACTTCGTATTGCAGTATTGACAAATATAAAATGATTTTCAATATTCGAACTTTGTTTGACCATTTCAAACTTGTTGCCAGATTGTATTGAAATGTTCATGATTTCAGGATCGTAAAGACATGCTGCTGTGCAATTCTCAGAATGTGACGACTCAATTCTTCCAAAATTTTGAATAATCTTTTTCATTTCAGTTATTTCTAGTTTAGAATCCAAAATTTTCATGTCATGCACTTGTTCAAAATGAAATTCCTCTGTCATTTTGTTGAAATCTTTCACCACAATGTCAAGAGAATTAGTTGCTTTGTGCATCAAGTCAAATGTGGCCATTTCATCCAAGTTAATGAATTCTTTTATGGATTTCTCGGTTTTCTGTTT